AACTACTCTCCCCTCCCTACCCACAGACCCCAAAACATATGCACTGGTGATATTGGGCATCAGCATACTTTATTATTATTTTTAAAATCTTGTTATCTTTGTTTTTAAAAATTACAATAATTTCCCACTATATTCTTCTCCATCTCCCACCTCCACTCCAGAACTCTCTTTTGTAATAAATAAGAAAATAGTCCACACTAAGTATATAATGGTGGATGTCTCTGGACACTTTAGGTGTTATAGCAGCAATGGCAGCCCACAAGCTCTTTCATAGCCTACTTTCTATAAGTTTACAGATAGCTTTAATTAATTCATGGACCATCAAATTCTTGTAAAATATTATTTTTCCACCAGGTGGTGCTACACTCAAGCTACCAGCCAATAAATTTCAGCGAGCCTCCTCATTGGGACACAATTGCTGTCCAATTGCTTAGCCTGAAAACTCTTAAACTATTCCTCACTCACTATCCAGGCTCTACTTGGCTAATACCTCATATTGGAGCAGACGCTGCTCCCAGTTCCCAATTGATTAAAATGAAATACCAATCCAAGTTATTGGAAAATTTATTAATTATAGGAAATTTTCTACGACTGAAAAATTACCTTAAATCTGATTAGCCCTCTATATTTTCTATTGCACAGGCAATTCGTACTGTGGCCACATCATTATATACATATGTATGTACACACGTATACATATATATATATATATGTTACACACATGTGTGCATATGTATGCATGTATGGGTCTCAGTTTGCTCACCAATAAAATGAGGAGACTGGCCTCTAAGGTCCCTTCCAGTTCCAAATCCATGATCCTAGAAAGAGAAACTTGTTAAGAACTACATTGTGGAGTAAATTGGCTATTTGTCTTCCACCAGTCCTCTCAGCCATCCTTATCCTCCTGCGATACCCATGGTATGGTTCCAAATCCCTCTGGCACATGCAGCTTTTGGAGGAATTGCCAGCAAAGTTTGTGCTTGTAGAGCCCCTAATAATCAATGGGACCCAAGACTATTGCCAGAGAAACTGCAGGAAAGAGTAAAGGTAGTCCTCTTCATCTTCACTGCTAATGAGACTTTCTCAGGATACCAGTTTAATCCTACTCTCCTCTGGTCTCTTTTGCAACACCGCTCAGGATCTGTGGATAATGGTTTAGACCCCAAAGCCTGTTGTTTCTCATTTACATGGTGGACAAAGAATATCTGTCTCCCATTACAGCGTCTCTCTTATCTTCTTCTGGCACCTGAATCAAATGGCAGAGCAGAAGTCAAAAAGCAGATAGTGGAAGGTCTACTTGTGTGTGTGTGTGCAATCTCTACTTCATTCCTTCTTTGAACATGCCTTCAACCTGCTCTATGTTCAATGTCTGCTTGACTCTCTTTACCCTGAAGCAATTTAGCTCCCTCAGAGATGATAACACGTTTAAGACTCCTGCTACATGAAGAAAAACAGTCAAACAAACCTCACCAATATAAGCAGCCATCTGGTACTTGTGGCATCCATTCTCCCCTCCACTTCTTTTCAGAGGAGGGAATGACATGTTTAGTCATTTATGCTTTAGAGAAAATAGTTAAGAATTAAATTTTTTCTGCTATAAGACTGTAAAGCATTTGTTTTCACAAGAAGTTTCTTCACCTGGAAAACAAGGGCCTTGGACTAGATAATCTGTAATATCTCTATAAGTTCTAACATTCTATCAGTCAATTGATAAGCATCAGATACTGTGCTAAATGTGTGCTAAGAAAGCAAAAGACAGTGCCTACCACCAAGGAGCTCACAGTCTAATGGAGGAGATGGCATGCAAACACCTATGTACCAACAATGACATATAGGATATATTGGAGATAATCAACAGAGGAAAAGCATTAACATTAAGGGGGATCCTGTGCCTCTACTGGGGTAGCTAGGTGGCACAGTGGATAGAATGCTGGGCCTGGATTCAGGAAGTCTCATCTTCATGAGATCAAATCTGGCTTCAGACATTTACTAGCTTTGTGACCCTGGACAAGTCATTTAACCCCATTTGATTGTTTCCTTATCTGTAAAACATGCTGGAGAAGGAAATGGCAAACCACTCCAGTATCTTTGCCAAGAAAACCCCAAAAGGAAGTCACAAAGAGTTGGACATGACTGCAATGACCGAACAAAATGTGCCATTAAATTCCTAGCAGGTTGCTAAGCAGTTGATAGTTATAAGATCATAGAATTTACAGTCAAAGGGGACCTTTAAAACTGCCTGGAGCAGAGGTTCTTGACCTGGAGCTTGGGACTGTGGTTAGATTTCAGGGATCTGTGAATTTGATGAGGGGTGAGATGGATTGTAATCTTAATTTTAACTTAATTGAATTGTATTATAGACAAAGGTTGTGCTCCCAAACTCCTAGAATATAACCTATGTACTTTATTTTATTCCTTATTGTTCTCAGAAGGGGTCCACAAGCTCCAGCAGAAGGGTTTCATGACACACAAAAAAGGTTGGGAGCTTCTGTCCTAGACCTACCCTTTCATTACAGATGAGGACCATAGAGGTTACATAATGTAAATTGGGAGTAAATATCAGAGCTGGGATTCAGACCCCTGTCTTCTGACACCCGGAGCTAGTGTTCTTCCCATAACGTTGTCTGCCCTCCATCCCACCTCCATCTCCCTAGGGAATGGAGGCCTAATATAGGAGATGTGAGAGTAACCTTTCTTTTTCTTCAAAATTACACTAGGGTTTTTTTTTGTCTAGGCAGGGCTGCCATTTTGATGAAACTGATCAATTATATTTGTTGTGTGTAATTATCATCTGAAATGACTACTAGCCACCTCCAATGATTACTCCACATTTTCTTGCCTTGTTTGTCTCTTCATGCCCCCCTCCCCACTGATCAATAATCCTACCCATACAGGGCCTTAAGGTTTGCAAAATGCCTTATTTTATCTAGCTGTGACAGATAAGGCCTCCATTCAATTCAACAAACATTTATTGAGAACTGTACTTAAAAGGTTTTTTTGTTTTGTTTTGTTTTGAGGTTTTGTACATCTCTTACAGGAGTTTGCAATGTTTTGGGAGCTTCCTACACTGATGAAATCACTGGACTGGGCAAAACAAAACAAAACAAAACAAAACAAAACAAAAAAAACCTTTTAAATACAGTTCTCAATAAACGTTTGTTGAATTGAATGGAGGACTTATCTGTCATAGCTAGATAAAATACCTAATTACAAATAAGTCCCATGATAAAATTAGAAGATTTTCCTTATTTTATCCATTTTGGTTATAAGGTAGTAAATTAATTGATTAGTTAATTAATTTTAATAGTATTTTATTTTTTCCAATTACATGCAAAGACAATTTTTAACATTCATTTTTACAAAATTTTGAGTTCCAATTTTTTTTCCTCCTTCCCTCCCTCCCTTTCCCTCTTCCTAAAATGGTAAACAATTTGATATAGGTTATATATGTGCAATTATGTAAAACATTTCCATATTAGTCATGTTGTGCAAGAAGAAACAGACCAAAAAAAAAACCATACAAAAAATAAAGTGAAAATAGTATGCTTTGATCTGCATTCAGAGTCCATCAATTCTTTCTCTGGGTATAGATAGCATTTTTCTTCTTGAGTCCTTTGAAATTGTCTTGGATTATTGTATTTCTGAGAGGACCTAAGTCACTCATAGTTGATCATCACATAATGTTGCTGTTACTGTGTACAGTGTTCTGGTTCTGCTCATTTCACTTTGCATCAGTTTATGTAGGTCTTTCCAGATTTTTCTGAAATCTGCCTTATAGTACAATAGCATTCCATTACATTCATATATCACAGCTTGTTCAGCTGTTCTCTAATTGTTGGACTTCCTCTCAGTTTCCAATTTTTTGAAGGTGGCCAATTTATAATGGCCACCCAATGAACAGCTAGGTGGCGCAGTGGATAGAGTGCCTGGCCTAGAGTCAGGAAGCTTCATCTTCCTGAGCTCAAATCTGGCCTCAGGCACTTCCTAGCTGTGTGTACCCTGGGCAAGTCCCTTAACCTTGTTTGCCTCAGTTTCCTCATCTGTAAAGTGGCCTGGAGAAGGAAATGGCAAACCACTCCAGTATCTTTGCCAAGAAAATCCCCAAAAGGTCACAAAGAGTCAGACACGACTGAATTCATTGAAGAAAAAATAACAGTACTAATTTACATGGACAGGCAAATCAAAAGTACTGTACTATGATTCTGAGAGTCAACTTAGCTTACCTGGCAAGTTTTTGGAAGAGCTTTTTTCCTCTCTATTATTTGTTTTCAATACTTCAAAAATAGTCTGTGATTTTGTTGTTACGGATACTCCTTTCCTTAGGAAAAATTGCAACTTTCTCATACCTTAGAAAATGACTTGATGAACTGAATAAAGACATTTTCTGTCACACCTAAGAAACATTTAAGTTTTACCTTGATATTGAGGTGATCCTGAATTCTTAACAGCTATGAAAGTAACAACTCTGGTAGGTCCTATGATACATGTCTGCTTATAGATGGCATGATCTTGTCTATTGACCAGCCTAGCTAAACTGAACAAGAAGTGATGAATTCTTTTTGTCCACATCTTCTCTTGGAGATAGTCTCCTAATGTGTACGTGTGTATAGGAAAGGGTTGGGATCTGAGGCCTGCTTTAGTTAAAATGGTATTCATACCAATGAAATCACAAGTATTTTAAATATTTAATTATTTTGAAGCCTTTCAGACAACTGATTCTTACCATCTTCCCTGCATTTGTACCCTATGGACCCCCAGTCTTTTTCATCTTCCCTGAAGCTTAATCTTCCTTATATATGTTGTCTTTCCCTATTAGAATATGAGCTCCTTGACAGCAGAAACTACTGATTTTGGGAGGGGGGACTCTTATTGTACCTAAAAAGACTTTTTCATTCATATAATCATTGCAGACTGATAATAGCAGGATGATATACACTAATATAATATACTACTGTCTTAATAGTAATGCATTTTCTCTCCTTTCTCCCTAACATTTGCAGAATTTCCAATGTCCTGCTTTGCAATATTACAAAACGTGTGTCATTCTGGTTTGTAGTTACAGACCCTTCTAAAAATCAGACGCTTCCTGCAAGTGAGGTGCAGGAAGCCATAAGGTAAATGTCACTCCATTTTATTCTCTTTTAAACATATTTTGTCTTTGATGAACAACCAAGTTAATTTATCTAAAAGCTGTTTATATACATGCCAAATAAATCTATTCTGTTTTTTTCCTCCCTTGTTTAAGTGCATCAGGAGATCCAAAAATTGCATACTGTTAGCTATAGCTGCTAGACATAACCTTCTGATATGGCTCTCTATATCTTTTTTTTTTTTTAAGACATGATATAATCTATTAAGAAACAGTACCTTTGATTTTATAAAATAAATAAATGAATAAGCAAATAACTCCCACAACACTAAATTTTTAAAAAATGTAACCAGGTACTTAGCAACTACGTAGAGTTAAATCACATACATCTTAAGGGACAACAAAGTAATAGCTAAAGAAATAAGAAGTCAGGTTATAGAACAAAGAACATCTGTAAAGCACATGTTGTTGTGTTATTTGTACTTCGTTTTCAAAGAGGACTAATGCCATCACAGGTAATGTCTTGACTTGTATGTGAATTGGATTTAAGTGAGACAGAGTGGTGCAAAGTTGTCACCATCACTCTTTCTTCCTGATAAGACCATCCACACAGGACCAACTAATAAAGGGAATTTTTTTTGTCCTGACTTATGAGTTTATTCATGTATGGTATTCTTGTCATGGGACTAACTTGGCAACTATTTGTAACTATAAGTAGTTAAGTAGCACAGTGGATAGAGTATAGTTAGAGGACCTGAGTTCAAATTTGAAATCAGAAACTTACCAGTAGCATAACCCTGGGCAAGTCACCTAACCTTTTTTGCCTTAGTTTCCTCATCTATAAAGTGAGCTGGAGAAGGAAATGGCAAAGCATTCCAGTCTGTCTCCTAAGAAAACCTAAATGGAGTCACGGAGAGTTGGACACTTCTGAAAAACAATTGAAAGATTGAAAATCTGAAAAAAAATTGAAAATAGAGTTTTCTTTTACTTACTCATCATGCTATTTAATAAACAGCATGTACTTCATATTTACATATTTAATATTATTGGCAATATTTTCTGGGTCCTCAACTTTTTACATCCATCTTCTGTATGAATTCTTACTCCATAGTATACACTAGACACTGTGATATCTCAAAGTGTTCACTTTTTGAATTTAAATTTAATGAAAGTATTTTGTATACAGCACTGCTGTTGGCTGGGTCATCTGGCTAGTGGAGCCAATTTAGGATTACTCATTTCAGGATTTTTGGTTTGGGTCACAAAGGGATAATGGCTATGGGAAAGATAAGAAGGCAACAAGAGCCTAGTAAGACAACCTGGGCAGGACACTGTGAAGTCAAGCACGAATTCTGAGAAAGCCTATACCTGTTCTAAGTCAGTGAAGTAAGGAGACAGAACAGTCAAGAGCTGGGGTCTAAGGCTACATAGACTCAAAGATACAGAGCTAGAAATCACCTTAGATTATCAAGCCAAACCCATTATTTTACAAATGAGAATAGTGAGGTCCAGAGATTAAGTGACCTTCCCATATTTCATAGGCAGTAAGCAGAAGAGCAAGGATTTGAACTCAGGAGCTCTGTCTCTCAATTCTACACCATTTCCATTTTAACATGTTAAATAGCAAAGTTCTCAGAAACCTATTAAAGATGCATCATCTTTTAATAAAAATAATAGCTAATATTTATATAGTGCTTGTGATGGGCCAGGCACTGTGCTAAGCACTTTACAATTAATTATTATATCATTTGAGCAGCACAACAACCCTGGAGGTAGGTGCTATTGTTATCTCCGTGATTAATCATATATCCAGTAAGTGTCTGAGGTCAGATTTAAATTCAGAATTTCCTGACTCCAGACCTAGTTCTCTATCTACCACCTGCTCTAGCTTTTAAAAGCTATAATAGCTTAGCGGTATCTGTTTGACCCACTAGTTAACTAGATTTGTCCATGTGGAGATAAAGAGTCCTTCATAATTTCAGTCTAGATTCCTTCTTATCATTATCCTCTGGCAGCGCTGCCTTCTCCAGATAGATAGCAAAGCCTCCAAAGGAATTCCAGATTGTCTGGAATGGTTAATCTCTAAGGGTTTGGCAAGGGTTTTGGCTAGAGAGAACTGACTAGAGAGAACAACAAAGTACCAGACTACCTTATTCACATTTAATCAATTAAATTACCTTTTATTACTAATGTAGCATCTCTCTTAGGCTGCTTTCCCAGAGACTGACTGCTATGTTGTTGGTTCAAGTGACAATTATTATGGAATTATATTCCTATTATAATTTTTTGTTGCTGCTGTTCAGGTGTTTTAGTCATGTCTGACTCTTCATGAGTCCATTTGGGATTTTCTTGGCAAAGACACTGAAGTGGTTTGCCATTTCCTTCTCCAGCTTGTTTTACAGATGAGGAAACTGAGGCAAACAGGGTTAAGTGACTTGCCCAGGATCACATAGTTAGGAAGTGTCTGAGGTCACCTTTGATGATGTCAGGAAGATGAATTTTTCTGACTGCAGGCCAGGCATTCTATCCACTGTGCCCTTCTATTATAATAGTTCATATCATAAGAGAATATTATATTAGGGCTTCCTCTCTCTCCCCTCCCCTTACTGCTTCCTATTAGCAATCAGCCAACAGGTCTAGTGAGCTTTTAGCAAAGGTATGTACTCAAATGACAGAAACAGAAGTAGTTACAAACATCCCCACTCCCTCAAAGCTGGGATGCATTCTCCCACAAATATACGTAGCATCCATGGGTGAGTGGGAATAAATTTAAAAGACCATAGTGGTGAGACATAAATGTAAGACATGTGTAATCTTATAAGATACAACTCTTAGTGCTATAGCATCTGGAAGTTCTCTCTCTCTTTTGTAGAGTTTCCACCTTCGGTGCAGCACCACTGCTGGGTTCCTGGGTCTGTCCCTCTCCCTAATGTGACTTTCTTCTCTGCTGCCAGGGGTCACACTCTGAAGGTGCTTCCTCCTTGGGTGCCTGTCTCTCTGTATCCATGGCTGTCTGGAATGTGTCTGTCTGTTTACTGCTGAGTGCAATATCTTCTACTGATCTAGCAATTTGTCTTCAAAGCTACATGGACCATATTGGGGGGAAGTGGAGAGGGTTAGTCAGTTAACAAGTTAGTCAACAAGCATTTATTAAGCACTTACTGTGTGCCAGGCACAGTTCTGGGAATACAAATATGAGCAAAAAAAAATAGTCTCTGCTGTCAAGGAGCTTATACTTTAATAAGAAAGCCAACACAAAATGAAGCTGACAGGAGGAGAGAAAGGACAAGGAGAAGGAAGAGAATACATATTTGGTACCAGGGCATGATGGAGAAGTCCAGAAAAGTGCAGTCTGGTGGGAAATGATCTAAATGGTATATTGCACTGTGTTTTGCTCATGTAGGTTATGTGTATCCACATGGTTCTACCTAGATGAGGCTTGCAGGGTTGTACAGTAGTATCTTTAGACTCTCCTTCCCTAACCCTTCTCCAAAGGAGACTGATTTCTGCCAGGAGAGGAAGCAGGAGATTGAGGTCTGAGGTTGGCCTCTCAGTTCTCCTCAGAGAGATGGGGGACTGGCCAGGACAAGATTTATCTCCTTTAAATACTGTTATTCATAGGATAGTGGTAGGCAAACTCTGGCCAAAGAGCCAGCCCACCTCCTGTATTTATAGAACCAGAAAGTTATATATGTTTTAAAATATTAGCCATAGTTTGCTGACTCCTGGTTGAGAGGAAATGCTTTTTAGGTTCAAGGGGGAGAAAAAGAGAAATTACCTGCTTCTTCCCACTCCCTCCTCCTAACTCTCTGTCACCAGGCAGCTCCAAGAATGTAATCTCTTCCAATCTGAAACTTTTGAAATTTGTCCAGAGTTTAGCTATTTAAAGTCTCTGCTGGTGTAACTAATTTGTTTGCACAGCTAATCCTGTTGTTTCCTTCTTGACTCCATCAGAGAAGTAATTCTACTTCATGAAGGGATCACATTAATACTTCATCATGTGCAACTGCATTATATATCCCTATCAACTGAACTAGAGGGGAAGGTTCACATACTCTCTTCACTACATGAAAATAACGAAAATTCGAATCATTTGTTACTGACCACTCTAGGCAGGATTCATTTTTAAGTACCTTGTGGTCAATTAAATTGGACAAATGTAACCTGGAGAACTAATTGACTGCTCTATTGGTTTTTTGCTTCACAACAAACTATAACAGATCTATAAAGACTAAGAGTAGTGAGAAATTGAAGCAATCTGAATGATGTGCTACTCATTTATTTTCTAAAAATCTGCTTTTGAATGAAAAAGAAACAAGTATTTGGACCTGAATTATTGACTAAGTAAGTACTTTGAAAGGTTCATTAGCTCATCCTCTTAATTTTATGCTAGAAACCCAAGTTTATGCAGGTCTTTAAAAATATAGTCATTTCCTTGAAGTCAAGAATTGTTTTTGCATTTTTTCTCCTATCCCCATCATTTGGCGAAGTGCCTACCACTTCATTGTTGTCCAGTTGTTTCAGTCGTATCTGATTCTTCTTGGCAAAAACATTGTTATGGTTTTCTGTTTCCTTCTCCATCTCATTTTATAGATGAGGAAACTGAGGCAAACAGAGTTAAGTGACTTGTCCATGGTCATACAGCTAGTGTCTGAGGCCAGATTTAAACTCCAGAAGATGAGTCTTCCTGACTCCAGGCCAGATACTGTATGGAGTGCACCACCTAGCTGCTTCACCTACCACTTATGTTTGTTAACTATTGATTGAATTCTAGGATACAGCTGTAGCTAATGCTGCATGTTGTTTCATGATAACATAGCTAATAGATTATAACAAAATCTCACCAAAATTTTTCTTCTATGTTGTTCTGGATGGCTACTGTGTCTTCTACCTACATTTTCCACCCCTCTTCTCCATCACACACACTTCATTTTCACTCTTTCTTCTCCTGTCACTCCCTACCTTCTCTTCTTATTTTTAAGCTTTCATAAGTATAAAATGTGAATCGAAGAACTGTATTTCCCTGATGTCATGCTTTTTCTGGATTCAATTAATGATGTTGGGTATGCTTATTGTCACATCAAGGATGATCCATCAGCTAAGTATCTCGATTTCAACTTCTTGTCTTTTTTTTCCTTAGTGTTTTGTTAACATAAGCAGAATATTTAATCTAGCCCAGCAGAATGTGGAGGAGAAAGGACTTTAAGCTGGAACAGTTTATTTACTGGCCAAGGGAAGATATGAAATAGCATTTTAAAGGGAAAGACTGTTTAAGTTGAAGTTTGATGTTTGGTTTTGAGGTGATATAATCCATTCCTAGAATGGAAAAATTTGAACAGTTCAGTAGGATGCAAAAGTTAGATAACTTTTCATCTTTGCTTGTTGTACTTATACAGTGAGCTTCACTGTTGTCTTGGAAATATCAGTTCTTGGGGCGGCTAGTGGATAGAGCTCTGGCCTTGGAGTCAAAAGGACCTGAGTTCAAATCTGGTCTCAGTCACATAACACTTCCTAGCTGTGTGACCCTGGGCAAGTCACTTAACCCTGATTACCTCACCAAAAAGAAAAAAAAAAGAAATCAGTTCTCCCCCACAGTCACTAATATTTGAATATGGATATAAACATTCCAATATGAAGTAGAAATTATTTAAAATTATCCAGTGTTTTAGATTATTTGGATGATGACTCATCTCCATACTGAATAGTAATTTAGAGTTGATTTGGAATGGATTCTCACTTATGTAAGAGTCTTTCCCCAAATCAGGGGCCTTTTCAGTCAGATTCCACCTGCAAGCGTATGGTTTAGATACTTTTGTAAAGGATGTATCTCCTGTTTTCTCAAAAACCAGCTTCATTCAGCTTGCTGAAGCTTAAAAAAATTACATTCTTCTGCCTACTGTCCAAGGGGATTATTGAAGTCTTAAAACACAAGTAAACCTGGGAAATATAATACCTTAATATAGTTCTTCCTCAGGGAGAATGAGTTGACTAGATTGTTGCTGGGCAGCAGCCTAGAGAATTTGTGATAGAGCAAAGTGGAAGGGCTACCACCAAAGATAGAGAGTGTAGAAAGGGTAGGCAAATGTATCTCCATCACAATTGTTCTGAGGACTGGCCCTGCTGTCAATTCAGGGATTCTATGGTCTACCAGTATGGAGAAGCCCAAATTAACTTAATTTTCCCAAAGACATTTAACAATTTGAAAATACAAACACAACTTGAAATTTTATTTCATACAACAGAGGGCAGCAGCACCAACATCAGCTGCCCCACTACCTTCTAACAGCCCCAAAGCCCATCCAAGAAACCTAAAGCATGCCGGGGATTCAGCAAACATTCAGAGGGAGGGAAAGGCATTGTATATGCTGTGTAGTTCTCTTTATGAAATTATTTATAATGCACTTGTTTTTAATTTGTATTGTTGCTTTTGCCACTTTAGGATGAACAGAAACAGGATCAACAATGCTTTCTTTTTGAATGACCAGACATTAGAATTCCTAGAAATTCCCACCACCTTTGGACCCCCCACTGAGCCATCAACCCCTACCTGGATAATCACATTTGGTGCAGTATTTTTCATTGTCGCAGTTGGAATTGTATTACTGATTATCTCAGGAATCCATAAACGGAGAAGGTAAGAAACTTAGTATATTACCTGAAGTGAGTTAATGAAGAGATGGGTCATTTTGTTTTGCTTTATCCACATAATTTAAAAAATACATGGGTATTTCCCAAGGTGGAGGTAGCCTTGGCTAAGAGGTAAAACCTGTAGAAAATTGGTGATACTGAAATAATTACAATACGGTTTCTAGTAACAAAGAAAGCAAAAGCCATTTTAAAAAGAGTTTCTGCCCTTATACCACGTCCTGGGATGTTCAGGGAAGGCTAGCACCTTTGGTGTGAAGGCTGGCTGAGCCCTTTTCGGGGCTGCCCATCTTCTTCTGGCGTCTACCTTCACCCAACTCTCATCTGTGGCTCCAAGAAGCTGTAGCACAGGAGCAGTCACACCCCAGTGAAACTGTCTTAGCACATGGGCTAAGCAGGTTGAGGGTAACCGACAGGCCTCAAACCCATCTGTAGGGGCATGTCTACCCCAAGCATATGAAGACTTTCCCTGGAGGAATGGGTGGATGAGAACAATTTGTTCCAAAGTCCAAGAAGGAAGCTGCTATCAGTCAGACATCGAAGATGCTGAAGTCATCCACTGCATCCTAGGCTTTTGTCCTGCCACTGAACTTTGATGACTCAGGAAGAGAAAGTGAGGCTGATGACTTTGCACAACTCTACCTCACTTAAATCCAATTCACTGGCAAGGAAAGACATCACCTGTGATGTCACTGGTCCTCTTTGAAAACAAAGGATTAACAACAGTCTATATAGTTTTCTGAAGGATTTTTGAGGGATGTAGAAGTTGTAACTTACAATGTCATCATATAAACCAGGAAAATGGGACCATTACCACGCATGAGAGTGGGAGATGGGGAGTATATACTAGTGGGAGTGGGTGCAGGGAAATGATATATTAGTGTGAGTTGAAGGGGGGAATTAATTATACAATGGGAGTGGAAAGAGAGAGAAATGCACAGATATCTTCTTCATCTGACCCTTTATGTGAGTTTGTGTGACCCATCCAAGCTTAGAATTCTGCACTGGCAAAAGGGGAAATGTCTGATCTTTCTGTTCATGGGAGATCCCTGAGAGTCTGGACACTGGTCTGAAACGGTTAGATTATAAAGTAGAGATTCTTACATATACAAAGTCATCAGTGTCCTCATCACACTATGAGTGTCTTCCCTAGATGCCCTGTCACCTAGAAATCTTCTAGGCCCACTGCCCTCAAGCTGTTCCCTTGGCATCAAAAGTTATTGTCTTCTCCTCTGTCTCTCTCTCCTCTGGAACTTAGCTATCCTATAGGACCCATGTAGATATGATACTTGTGGACTGGGTGTCGGTCAAAGGAGCCCAATTAGCCTACTCTGGGGACATTGTTATCAATACCCATCAACCTTTAAAACAGAGGTTCTTAACCTTTTTGGGAGAGATGGACCCCTTTCAGAATAATGTTTTAAATACATAAAATAAAATGTATAGGATTACAAAGGAAACCAATTATACTGAAATAGTTATCCATATATATATATATATATATATATATATATATATATGTATATGCATGTATGTGTGCATATATATACCAATTTATTAACGCTAGGTTAAGAATCTCTACATTAAAATCTGACTACTTCAGATCAATTTCCTGACTCTTTCCACCCAGCTACCAATAGGCAAGATGAGCAGGCATCTCCCATGAATAGAAAGATAAGACAGATCTCCCCTGTGGCAGGAAAGGAGCTCTGACCCTGAGGGGATCACACAAATTCATACGAAGGGTCCGAGGAGGAAGGGATCTGTATGTTTCTCCCCATTCCCACTCTGACTAGTATGCAATTAATAAACCTGGAGGGAATAGAGAAACCTAGGTGGAGCTAGGTGGAGCAGAAGATAGAGCCCTGGGCCTGGAATCAGGAAGACCTGAGTTCAAATATAGCTTCAGACACTTAAACTAGCTGTGTCACCCTGGGCAAGTCACTTACCCCTGTTTGCCTCAGTTCCTCATCTATAAAATGAGTTGGAGAAAGAAACAGCAAACCACTCTAGTATCTTTGCCAAGAAAACCCCAAATGGGGTCACAGAGTCAGATGTGACTGAAACAACTGAAAGGGGAGAGAGAAAGTGATTCACCTGATAAGCCTGAGGTCAGACACAGCCAGTGGTTTACAGAGGCAATAGGACTATTTTAAGGACTATATAGGAGTTTGAAAATGTTGGAAAAACATGGGGAGGGAGGGTGGTGATGGCGTAGAAATTCTTCAGAATAGAAAGCATTCTTTCCATAAAGGGCATGAAAGAGCCTGGCTGAAAGTTTATCTCAGCAATGAATCCAGCTAGTCATCCTTTTATGATAACGGCATGCTAGTCATAATCCCTTCTTACTCAGCTGTGGGCTTTGGAAGGATCACAGACACCTCCCCATTTGTCAAATTACACAGAGGCTTCCTCTAAAAGTCCCCTTTCCAGAGTAAGCTGGAGTGATGTATGGGAAGTTGGACACTGGGGAGAGGAAAGAATATGAGCTGATAACCTAATAGTTCACTGATGCTGTTTGAAATGGACCTAATCTAATGATTTCTAGGCAGGGGAAGTGGCCACTGGACAGCATGAATCCAGGTGTGTGATATGCAAGACTGCGCCCAGGCTATTAGGTGTTTTTTGCATTGCTCCCCAGATTGCAACTTCATAGCACTGACTGTGGGGCTGTGTAACAGCTGGCAACTGATTATTGGTGGCGGTTTAAGTCTGTTTATATGCTACAGCACGTGCCCCCTCGAGCTTCATTTTCTGCTTGAATGTTGCCTCTGTTGTCAGCAATTCAAACCTTGGACTATTGACAAAGGAGGACTGGCAGGACTGCATTGGATGATGTGGGGTCATGGGCTTCTTGGGGATTCCCAGATGCTGACTGTATATCTAACCTACCCTATGCCATCTCAGTTCTTTAGATGCTTATGTGCCCCAGAACTATTTCTGGGCTCTCATTGGTACACAATTCCCACAGATGGGGCCCTAAAGAGTGAAATCTTAGGAAGTGAGATTAAACATTGGCATCAAATTTATTTTTAAATTTAAAATGTTCTTTTCCAAAGCCCACATCTGGCATTCCAGACATTTGGAAAGTGGATGGTTGAATGCACCATAGAGCATTGATTGTAAAACATTACAGTTAAAAAAAGGATCTTAGAGAATATTTTACCCAACCCTTTCATTTTAGAGATGATAAAAATGAGGATCAGAGAGAGAAAGCAACTTGCCCAATATCACACAGCAAATTAGTGGCTGAACTAAGACTAGAAACAGTGTCCTACCAGTTTAATGTATCTCTAATTTCCAGATGATCTTTAGTACTCAGCTATATGGTGCATGTTACAAGCAAGGAACATCTGTGGTTTTAGTAAATTTTGAACTTTTTCATTGCTTTCTCAATCGATAAATTTCAAAAAATGAAATTAGTGTGACTTGCCTAGTTCCAGAATAAAAATCTAAAATAACAGCAGGCAAATGAGTTTTATTGGTGTTTATAGTGACTGTGGTGTGTAATAGGAAATAGCATAGTGCAGGAATTTGTTTAATGAATAATGTTTAAGTAAACAACAAATTCCATGTGCAGGCTTTAGGAAGAATATGCCATTTAGGAAAAGAAAAATCAGATTAGTTGAATGGGGTTTCAGGGATGTGAGTGCCGGGTTGATTAAGATCTTCATATATTGGGGACACGAGCAAGCCAAGGTATTTGAATTCAGAAATAAACTTAGTCTTTGGCAAGAGGTTACAGAATTTTAAAAGATTCACTACTTTGAGTCCAACAAGAGTCAAATTAACAGCTGAAGGAATTTAATGGCTAATAATTTTTTTCACGTTAAATAATAATAGCTTCCTAAGGATTTTCCTCATTGTTGTTGTGGTTTGTCCTTCATTCTTGAAGAGCACCATGACATCTGGAAGATGATGCCATGAGTGAATTGGAGTTGAGGGAGGGAAGGCTGTGCAAAGCCACCAGTCCCACTTTCTTCTCCAGAGCCGTCTAGATCCAGTGGCAAGATATAGATCAGGACGACTGCAGATGGACCAGGATGCAGTGAGAGACTCTGGCCTTTTTAAGCTAAGGTCTTTCTGAATTCTCACTTTGACTTAGGCAACATCCATTCAGTGATCAGGGCTGTTTAAGTGAGTCAAGGGATGGCCCTTTTAATCCACTTCCTCAAAAAAAAAAAACTGGGTGGGGGAGACCTTCAGGGTTTCTGGCCAAAAGAGAAACAATTACTATTTACATTCACTCTGAGCCATCAGAGCCCCCAAAAATAACTATTAAGTGGTTCTTGGGCAGGGACCTATTGTTGGTCAATCAATGAGAGCCAGAGTGAATTAGGTTTAAGGCATGGTCTTTAAGAAGCAAATCTAGCTAGTAAATCTGGAGAAATCAAGGTAGGTTTTAGCCATCAAAAATTACCCTCCTTAGTGGGCAGCTAGGTGGCTCAATGGATAGAGCACCAGTCCTGGACTCAGGAAGACCTAAATTCAAATCTGGCCTCAGACACATGATACTCACTAGCTGTGTGACCATGGGCAAGTCACTTAACCCCAACTGCCTCGCAAAAAAAAAAAATTATCCTCCTCTGGGCAGAGCACCCTCAGGTAGCATGATATCCCAGATAGGGAGTTGAGTTGCCGGGTTGGAACTGGCCAGTTGGGTCCCCCATGGGATAGCTTGGACTACTCAGAGGTTGTGGTTTAATCCTCTCAAAGATGACCATAACTTCAGGAAGATGATGCCATGACTTGTGGGAGGCAGGGAGGGCTGTGCAAAGTCACCAGCCTTGCTTTCTCCTCCAGAGCCATCTGGGTCCAGTGGCCAGATATAGATCAGGACAACTGGAGATGGCCCAACTGTTGAAATAAATAGTGAGAAAATCTAATATAAGGTGGACATTTTGCTATGTAGTATGGTTAGTTTGAGCAAACAAAACAACATTTTCCAAGAGCAACCAAAAAACACTGTTAGGTCACAAAAACAAAACA